AAACTTTAACAGTGCTGCCAACTTTGGAAAAAGTCATCCCAATTTACTGTGTTGACTTGGCATTATACAGAAATGCACAACCGTATTGGTCTAGAAAAGTTAATTTATTTTTATTTTTATTTTTTTCCCTGTGTACAGGGGTAACACATTGTACTAAATATGTAAGGTCATATCTACGTGGGTTTGATTACAGAAACTAATAAAGTATTCTGTAAATAATGAAAAAAAGAATAAGATAAGACTATAAGAGCGAGAAGCAATTTAAATATGTTCAGGGACCATTTTCATCTCCAGAATTAAGGATTATTTTGATGTTACATCATTGCCTTTTCTCTTTTACTTTTCTTTTTAGTTTTCTTTTAGGATTCCCTATTTTTAATGTTCATACAGAGATTTCTTTAACTGAAATACCGAATAGCTTCTTTGGTGTGAAAAACTATAATAGTACACAGGATCCTACTGAGACAATTAATAATGTGAAATAGGAAGTAAAGGGCTAAAGGTGTAGGGAAAGTGGGAAGGGTGGGGGAGAGGTAATAAGGGAGAGGAAAAAAATATGAGAAACTGAAAGAATGGAAATAAAGTATTTGTAAATGTGGAGGGGAGGAGTGGGTGAAGGGAGGGCAGGGACAAGGGGAAAAATGAGAATCAAGACCTATTATGTAAAGGTACAGAATCCCAATGATGAATATAATTGTATTGTATACCTAGATTGTACCAATAACCTCAATAAAAAGAAAAAAAATTAAAAAAAAAAAAGAAGAAGTGGCTCCCAGAAAGTGGATTCTAATGAAATTGAAAAGCATTTTGACTCACCTTTGCTCTTCAAAAAGTGGTTCTGGGACCATTAGCACCCACATCAGACTCTAATACGCTTGTTCTAAATGCAGGTTCTCATCTCCTACCCACCACACCTACTGAATCAGAATTTGCATTGTGACAAGATCTCTAGGCTTTGGATGCAAATTAAAGTCTGTGAGGTCTTTGCCCATAGCTGTGATTCTCAAAACTGGTTGTGTGTTAGAAGTACCATGGTGGCCCAAACCAATGACATAAAAAATTCTAGGAGTGGGATCCAGGCAGGTTTCTTTTTTTTTTCAGTTACCAGGGATCAAACTCAGGACCTTGTGCTTGCCAGGCAGGCGGGGCACCACTGAGCTAAATTCTGGCCCTGGTTATAGTTTTAATAGCTCTCGAATAACTAATGAGTGACCAGGGCAGAAACCACTGCTCTAACCTTACTACTTCATCCTTCCATGTCTGGATGACCAGGATGCCAGCTTCTCCTGCTGCTTTCCTAGTTCCTGGAAGGACATTGTCTCCTAGCAAATGTACCCTGTCCTTCCCTTGGTTGAAATAAGCTTTACTTGATGTAGCTTTAACAACTCTAGTATTGATTGACTCTACGATCACCTTAGCTCAAAATGGATTCTTCATCTTCCCAGCTATATGTTCTTCTCCTGCTTCTCACCCCACCCAGCAAATGAGTGCATCATTCACCTACCTACACACCTGCCACAAAGCTTGGCATCGTCCTAGCCTTTATCTGTGTATCCCTGCAATATCCACTAAGACTTCAAACCTTGTCATTTCTTCCTCTAAAGTTACAACTCATCTCCTCCTTGATTTCTCTTTTATGGCTCTTGTTTACTGCTCTGGCATTCCTTGTGCAGACCTTGAACATACCTTCTCTTTGGTCTGCCTTGCTTCATTCTTGTTCCTGGTAATTTATCCTCCGTAATTCAGCCAATTTCTTTTCAGTGCTGAGAACTGAACCCAGAGCCTCATACACTGGAAACCAGAGTGATCTTTTTAGAGTAAGTGGACTTTATCTCTTTCCTACTTATAACTCCTAATGGGTCACTCTTTCCCTCAGGCATGGTTCCAAACTCCTTAGTGTGGTGAGTATATCCAACCACAGTACTCTACACTTTCTGTACTGTAATGGAGAAAGTCAGAGTTCTCCAAATTTAACTCCTCCCCTCCCTTTATATTCCTTCTTCCTAGAATGCTCATCTTATAGGCCTGTATCTGTCTAATGAACTCTTTCTCCTTGGAAACCAAGCTCTTAATTACCCACCCTTAATTAACAGAAATTAATGGGCATGCCTGCAATGGACTATTTCATAACAATCTTAGAGAAGACAGTGCTAAACTATTCTTGTCTATGTCTACAGGGGCTTGGACAAGAGAAAATGACCCTGAGGTCAATGACTGAGGAACATTCCCTCTGGTCAAAGGCAATAATATTTAACCATGAACTTGTAGAACACTGACATGGACCACAGAGAAAGACTTAGGAGTGTCCATCTCTATCAGTATCCAAGAAGAGACTCTATCCTGAACAATGGGGACTTGAACCTGATGACTTCCCAGCATGACATACTCTGGGATTTTGGGATTCTGTGCATTGGTTTCAGGGCTTCCCAGAGAGTGAAATCTATATGTTCTATCAAACAGGAAAGGGAAACAAAAGACTTATAGTGAAGTATAAGGAGCTCATCTAGGA